CTGCGTGTCTCTACCGCACCCCTTTAGAAGGGGACTCACGCTTTACTCAAGCGCACTCTCTCTCTCTTTTCGCCTAAGCTCACTCATCCTTGACGATGTAAATTAACTTTGATTTGATTAGAAAAAAAAAGACAATCATTAGTGCTCAGGAGAGATATCTGATCCTGGAAATCCAGGGGGCCCGCGCGAGGGCTGTCAGGTTTAATCTGACAGCCTCCTAGAGGGTCTTAGCCAGGTAACGATGAGTTTACTCACGTCTATTGTGGACCTAGAAGTTGTTTCAATCACGCACGCTTTTCAGTCTTTATATTTTGTATCCTACTAGGCATTGCAGGAAGGGGAAGATGAAAGGTGGCTATGAAATATTCCGTAAACAGGGCTCGTGTTCTTGAACCCTGGTGTTTGGACAGGTGGGACTTGTCTTGCAGCCTTGACGAAGACGAGTTCACTTATCGAAACGTCGCCTCGAGCAAACGAACCCCGTTTACGGATTATTTATACTTTCCTTCTCTCTCTCTGTACTCGTTATTCTCCACCCCGACATCATTGCGTAACGCAATAATGGCGGGGTGGATATTGCGTTAACCCGCCACGACGAGCCAAGAACGCTGTTTCTTTTGTTCACTTCGTAGTGTTGTTTCTTTGTTCACTTAGGCTTAAACCCACGTATCCGTCGCAGCGCGTCGGCACGTGCCTTTTTGACGTGGCGTCGAGCCGTGCTCCATATGGAGAGAGAGAGAGAGAGAGAGAGAGAGAGAGAGCGGCTTCGCAGAGGGTGCGACGCTGCGACAAAATGCCTCGCGCTGATCCGCTGCGACGGATGCGTCATGTAAGGCCTTGACTTCTCGTGCTTTTAGCTAGATTCACACGCGAGGGCGAAATCCCGGTGCTCCGCTGACCAAATAGTCACGTTATTAGTTTAATCCGGCGCAGCAGCGGAGCCGTCGCTCGCACACAGCCGGAGCTACGCTCGCGGAATCCTCGTGCGTACCCTCGACTTTTATTGGCACTGAAGGGAAAGCTACGAAGCCAAATCACTGGCAGCCTACCACCAGTGATGGTAGTGCCAAAGTGGCACCCGTATTTTCAACGTCAAATATAAATGTTCCGCCTTTGTTTTGTACGTGGAGCTATTTGAGACAGGACGCAGCTGACAACATTAATATATTTGGATTTCTTTCAATTTATTTGTTGGGGCAGCGTGTTCTTGAAGGCGTGAGAAAGTCCCGCCTTTTTACGTGCTCCTCAAACGCTAGCGGCATATGCGTCTACATGAAACGCTCATGGTGCGCCCCCGCCTTTTTCCACGGCGTTACAGAGACGCGCGACAAAACGGACTACTTCACGTAGTGCTACGTGTACAGCTCCGTCAGCTCCGTAGCTTTCCCTTCAGTGCCAAGAAAAGTTGTCGCCGAGTGCTTTTTAAGCCGGCTACCTGCTTCTTACCCATGCCAATCCGACCTGTGTTGACAGATTCGACGCTGAATCCTCTTGATCAAGAGCAGACGACCGCCAAACGGAGGGATCGGAATAGCGGCTACACGTTTCCATCCATGCCGCGAGCGGAGGAGAGTGGATGAAGCGAGGTCGACACGTTTCGATGACGCGCTCGTCACGTGATGCGCCATCCGCTGCGAAAATTCCTCCTCCGTACCCTCGTGTGAATCCACCTTTTCGGGGTTTTTTCTCTTTGCAGCAACACCATCGACGCCGGCAATGAATTTTCTGTGACACGGCCTCTTAACGCTGCCGCGCTAAAGTGTCCAAGTCTGTTCTCGTGGTTCGTTTGTTAATGTAGACAGTTGATCTCGTGTGGTACATACCCGCACTTCACAGGCTATTGCATGCGGTTATGCGCCACATGCAAATGAAAGGTTTCACGTAATACAAGTCATACACTTCATGATAGTCACTTCATGACCCATACATCCTGTTTGACATAAACTCATATTCTCCTAAGCTAATTTTGGTATATGATGAGGAGACGAACACGAGAGCATTTGGACGTAAGTAGATAGATAGATAGATAGATAGATAGATAGATAGATAGATAGATAGATAGATAGATAGATAGATAGATAGATAGATAGATAGATAGAAACTGTCAAAGTGTCTTTGGACAGCAAAGAAATGCTTCGCAATTTTAAAGAGCCTGGGAAGCGCATTTGTTTTGATAACGGAAACACTAAGAAGTTCCATATACGTATAATTTTGGTACCTGGAAGTGCAGTAGAAAGAAAAAGAAACAAGAAAAGAAACAACATTGCGAATAGTTCTGACGGTACAAATTCACAACAGCCTTTCGGCAGCGGCCACAAAGTTTGAACATTTGACAGCAGCTGTTCCTATGACCTTGCACGTGGTTGGCCGGCAATTAAAATTTTTTTTTTCTCAGCCCACTTCGTGCTTGGTATTCAGCAGGATGAAAGTCGGCGACGGAAAAAAAAATGCAATTCACCCTAACATGTACAGCGTTTGCAATATAAGCGTGCCACATGTTAGAGGGTGAGACACATGTTTTCCAGCCATGCACTGCACCGAAGGGTATGTGAAAATAATGCGGCTTCTTGATTCATTGACGACAAGCAGTGTGGTGAATAGGAACGTGAAATATCGGGTAAACTGTCTATAATATTACATCTTAAGTCATGAAGCACGTTTATGAAGTCCCAATGAATGAAGCCTCTTATAGGCGTCAGATACACTTTGTGCGAATGAAAGGGGCCGTATTTACAATTCAGAACTACGTTGCGCTTTTAGTGTGGTATGATTTTCAACCTTTCGAAATATTGAAACTGTAATAATGAACAGGGCACGCCTTCCACATCATCCTTGGCAGCTGATTGTTATACGCATAAGTTTTTCTTTCTACGTTGCTAATAAATAGGAGAATTACACAACGAATAACTGGAAAAAATTTCTCTCTGGAGTTAACCTGCTCGGAACCATAACGACAGAAGCAAGGGAACAACAATAAACAAAGTTGAATATTGTTTTTTTATAGTGTTCTAACATGTGGTATCCACGCTCCGTAATAACGTCTTGCGTTTGCCAGCTAGATCAGTGTCGAATTGTTTGAAGGTTTAGCAATGCTTTCATCTCCGTTATAGTTAAGTGAAGCACAATCAGCAACTTTGGCAATTGTAAGCATCGTCGGAACATGTACACTTCGTGCATAATCCCTGCAGGGCTCGTTTTGTTTTACTTTCAGTTGTGTTTTCTGTCATTAGGGCGTTTATTTCATTACTACGCCTACGCTTTGTATGTGCTTTATCGATGTTCTGATCCCAGAGCGTAGGTAGGTGCTCTACCCTTAAGAGAGTTGCAAGCCTACTGCCACCCTATACGTCTTCGTTGCCTTTGGTACTAAGCGTGTTTACGTTGACAGTGTACGAACAACTGAGTGTCTACGTACACTTCACAGCGCTCTACGAATACGCCACGGCGTAGGGCGTCACGCATCTGAAAGACAGAATGTAATACCCCTGACCGATGAAGTAATTTACTTCTCATAAATCGTCCTTAGCGGTTCTCCGCTATTACAATATGGTAGCTGGAACATTTTCTGTGTGCCCTTGTGAATCATTTCACAAGGTCTGCGCATCAACGTGTATGTCAACAGCCGGAGAGCGATTTCTATTTTTCCTCGAACTCTAAAAGCGTTACATATTCGCTGATGACATTGCCTTGATGAATAACTCAGGGGACGAATCACAGCTTATAATTACTGAACGGGACACGGAAATCAGAAAAGTAGGTCTGAATATTATTATGCACAAAACTAAAATAATGTGCAACAGTCTCGGCAGAAAACAGCACTTTGAGGTAGGTGGAGAGACGCTGGAAGTTGTAAAGGAATATGTCTTTTTAAGACAGGTAGTAATCGAAGAGCCGAACCATGAGAGTGAAATAACTAGAAGAATAAGGGTGGGGTGGATCACATTCGGCAAACATTCTCAAATCATGAATGGTAATCTGCCACTAACCGCCAAGAGGAAAGTATATAACAGCTGCATTATGCCAGTACTTATCAACGGAGCAGAAACCTGGAGGCTTACAAAGAGCGTTCAGCGTAAATTGAGAACGAAGCAGCGAGTGATGAAAAGGAAAACGATAGGTGAAACATTGAGGGACAAGAACAGGAGCAGAGTGGGTCCAGGGAACAAACCGTGGTTAAGATATCATAGTTGAAATCAAGAAGAAATGGACATGGGCTGGGCACGCAGCACGTAGGCAGGAATAACCGCTGGTAATTAAGGGCAACTGACTGGATTCTCAAGAAGGCAAACGCATAAAATGGATACAGAAAGTTAGGTGAGCCGGTGAGACTAAAGAGTTCGCTAGTGTGACGTGGCAACAGAAAGCACAAGACCGGGTTGACTGGAGGATTATGAGAGACACCTTTGTCCTGCAGTGGCCGTAGTCGGGCTGATGATGATGATGTTTGATAATAAAATGTAATTACACTCCACGACGACCTTTTGACGCAAATAGTACAGGGCTTCACACATATAGAATATGAACCTTGTTTAGTGATTATTTTCAGCTTTGTACAGAGCGAAATCTTAATGTGTGTAGTAATGAACGTTGAGTGAAAAATTACATTATTCATATTCAATCGAAGGTCGATGCATTATGGGGCGATAAAAGCGGAAATAATAAAACTAGAACACACGTTGTATTGGACTTTATGTAACCGTTTCTCGCCTAAAGCTTGTGATACGAGCTCATCTAACGTCAATCTGTCTAGGCATAGTCATAAAACGAGGAAAGCTTATGCGGAAGTTTCTAGATCGCATGACGCGGATGAAATAGGTCGCTATTGCAGTTTGAGCACCGCTGTTCTCCTCACCAATGTGCCTGGATATATATGTACGGGTACACTACACAGTATGTAAAACAAAAACACTTAGGTGGGTGATTGAGTCGTATACTATATGGTAGTAATTTTGCTGCCATAAGGCTTGGTTGTTTAAAAAAGAACAAATTTTGTCACGCAGCATGCAGGATAGCAAGAAAAGCCCAAGCATATGGAAGGATCCACTCTTCGTAGTTGTTATCTTTCTACTGGCCTTGCCGCTGGGTGGCGTCGTAGTATCCACCAGGGAAGGAAAGGTGCGCGGCACGACAATAACTGTCCTCGGAAAGCAAATTGATGTGTTCTTCGGAATTCCGTACGCGTTGCCACCTACCGGAGAGCTCCGTTTCCGCAAACCAGTGCCCCAGCCACCGTGGGGGAAAACCTACAACGCGACCAGCGTTAAGGCCTCCTGCATGCAGCCTCGCGTTCCCTACATCTTTTACATACCAACGCCGCTGTCGGAAGACTGCCTGTACTTGAACGTGTGGACACCGAAACCATCGAGACAGACGAAGCTTCCCGTCTTGCTGTGGTTTTTCGGCGGGACTTTCTTGGTTGGCTCGGCTTACGAGACAAGATACGACGGGGCCGCATTACCCGCCCTCAACGATGTCGTTGTCGTTTCTTGCAACTTCAGATCTGGAATGTTCGGTTTCCTAGACGCGAGCAATGAGGGGGCGCCAGGAAATATGGCACTGTGGGACCAGCTTCTCGTCATGAAGTGGGTTCGGCGAAACATCGCAGCGTTCGGAGGTGATCCGGACCTCGTCACAGCAGTCGGCGAAAGTTCTGGAGCCATGGACATTCACCTTCACCTCATGTCGCCACACGCTGGTGGACTGTTCCGGCGGATGTTTTCTATGAGTGGGACGGAAACGAGTAATTCAAACGTCGACTCGGTTTTCGAAAGTATAAAACGGGGAAACTCAATTGCTGCGTTACTTGGGTGCGCGGATGTCTTCCAAGACCTGACAACGCACCCGGAAAAGGTTTTGGATTGCCTACGAAGCAAGCCAGCCCAGGATATCGTCGACGCTACAAAAAACGCGACCGCTCCTTGTATGTTGGCCTTCTTTCCCACGTTCAACACCGAGTACATACCCTACCTGCCGTCAATTGCTTCGGAAAAAGGCCTGTTTAGAGTGGTGGATGTGGTGCTTTCCGTCTTGGCGAATGAAGGTGGCTTTTTCTTTGACATGCAGACCGATAGAGAGCTGCTGCAAGACGACCTGAGCGACTACGAATACCCCGCTTTAATCGATGCGTTATACGATACCTTTCGGATGTGGCTCAAGAAAAAAATCGTTCCTTTAGGAATATCTTACTTAAACAACAGCAATTCTTCGAGCAAGGCGGAAATGAGGCAAACAACGGCGGATTTCATCGCCAAGCATAACTTTTACTGCCCCACTAAGTTCTACGCTGAAGACAACTCGGCCTATGGCGGCAACGTGTACGGCATGGTGTTCGGTCATCGCTCTCAAAAGTCAACCGAGCCTGAGTGGGTTGACGTGCGGCATATGGAAGAGATACCGTACTTTTTTGGGATCCCGTATCTAAATACCGTTAACTACACCGATGAGGACCGGCGAGTGAGCGACTACGCCATGGAAGTGTTGGTGTCATTTGCTCGGGATGGGTAAGTGAACATGGCACAGTAAATCACATAGGTGGGTTCAGTTTGAGTCACGATTTGCCTGGTCGGTGTTCTAAATGGCATCACAGCATTGATGTATTTCCGTAATTGCGGCGTTCCGAATTTTGGAATGTCGTCAGTTGTGCGTCTCCAACACAGGAATAGGTCGGCAACTATTATGGAGCTCACTCAGACTGACTCATGAAGCGTATCTTGCGCTTTGGCTTGACTCGAACTCAGATTCACCAAACTTTTCTTGAGCCGAACTCACTCGGACTCCCACTTTAATAAATTTTTTCAGCCGGACTTACTCGGACTTAAACTGAAAGCTTAATCAGAGTCTGAGTTTGTTCGAGTGAGCCCATTCACGAGTGTTAGTCCAGAATTAGCATTCTAGACCACGGTGTGTGAATGCTATTTACGACAGGTACCTCACTTGCTAGGTGCTTTCTTTTGCACATTCTTATCTAGTATACCATCGAATACAAGCTATGAATTGTTGCAAAATAGTAAGGCCCCTCATACTGAAATATATGACAACATAGCATATATTTATCAAAACATTCTCTGGAAGAGTAGGCGGGGTGGATGGAGTTCAAGGCGGCCCCGTACGTAATTCACTCTTTTGATCAATAAATATTCAGAGAGAGAGAAAGAGAGAAAGGAAAGGCCGAGATGTTAACCAGATATTGGCATCTGGTTTGCTACCCAGTGCTGGGGGCAGGGGAAGTAGGGGCAAGAAAGAGGTAGTAGATAAAAAAAACGCACGCGCACTCATGTGAAAACGAAAACACACAGGAAAGGCGTCCTAGCTACAATCGTTCAGTAAGGCCGGTCGATCGCAAAAAGTGTAGTAGAGCTTTCAGCGCCTTCTTCTGTGTAGTTACATCTTGTCGATATTGTAGAATTCCTTGTTCTGACAGACGTTGATTATCTAATTTGGCTAATTGATTATCTAATTGATTATCATCGTTGTTTATTATACTCTAGGCAGTCACAAAGAATATGTTGGGTCGTTTCTTCTTTGCCACAGTGGCCACAGGCTGCGGTGTCGGCCATCCCAATGCGGAAAGAGCAGGTGTTGGTAAACGCGACGCCCAACCACAGCCTGCAGAAAAGGGTCTGGTCTGCTCGGCAAAGCCTCGACGGGACTTGAAGACTTAGCGTAGGGTCAAGCGAGTACAGTCGGGCATGCTTGAAGTGTGGCTGATTCCGTTGTGATGTGGTTTGCTGGCGAGCAAGCCTGCGGAGCTTTCGTGCAGCATCTGTCCTAGCAAGTGGTAGTCGTAGTTTATGATCTTCTGTGTGGGCTGAGCGGGCAGCTTGATCGGCCCGTTCATTGTTGATGATTCCGCAGTGACTGGGTAACCACTGAAATGTAATTTGGTGTCCTTTCTCAGTCAGGTGGTGTATAACCTCTGCTATCTCTAGTACCAGCTGCTCGTGTGGTCCACGGCGTAAGGCTGATAGTAGAGACTGCAGTGCCACCTTCGAGTAGCAGAAAATAGTCCACTTGCGTGTAGGTTGATCGACGACAAATTGCAAGAGACAGTGGGATTGGGCGTGTTGGTATAACATCATAAAGGGTGCTTACCAGCGCAAACGACAGGGCAGGAGGGGACAGGAGAAGAGACGAGACAGAGCGCTGAACTCGGCAAGTGGTAACTGCGATCATGTTGACGACAACATGAGGCTGGAGCGAAGAAGTCAGGAAAGGGCCCATTGTATTAGAAATGAAACTCAAGATACAGAGTTCAGCGCTCTGTCTCGTCTCTTCTCCTGTCCCCTCCTGCCCTGTCGTTTGCGCTGGTAAGCACCCTTTATGACAAATTGCAACGCGGCACGAAGTGCTGCCAATTCTGCTGCCGTTGATGTTGTTGCGTGAGATGTCTTGAATTTATTTGTCGTGGCCAACCTTGGTATCACTACTGCTCCTGTAGAGCTGTCCCGCTGAACCGATCCGTCAGTGTATATATGTGTGGAGTCTTGGTATTTCTCACACAAGAGAAGTCGTGTGAGCTGTTTAAGAGCTGGTGGCGACAAACTGGCCTTTTTCTGGACGCCAGACATGTTAATATTAATCATTGGTTGAGCGAGGCACCATGGTGGAGTCACAGGTGTAGCGGCAGGAGAGAACGAAGTTGGGATCGACTCGCCACGTGCGGTCACTGTTTTGCAGTAAGATGTGCATGGTCGGTCCTCTGGTAGAGAGGCTAGGTGATGTCGAGGAGTTCGAGCAAGGTGTCGTATATGTGTCCTCAGCACTTCCACATTAATGTGGGTCTTGATGAGGTGGTCCCTCGTGATGGCGATAGTTGCCGCTGTTGATGAACTTTGGGGCAAGCCTAAACAAATCCGGAGTGCTTGAGCCTGGACACTTTGAAGCACTTCGTAATGCTTGTTTTACTTGCGTTGGTTAACGCAGGTAGGCTGTACCGAATAAATCCAAGCAAAAGAATCCTGTATAGTTGCAACATAGCAGCTGTGGACATTCCCAAGTTCTTTCCAGCGAAGAACTTGAACAAATGACAGATGCCTGTCAATCGCCTTTTCATGTATGATACATGTGGGCTCTATGAGAGGTCTCTGTCAATTATAACACCTAGGAACTTGTATGATCGGAGGTGACGTATCCTTTCGCTGTTTATCAGAACGCTGCAGTTCTGCATTGGTTTGCGCGTAAATGCCACAAGTGCACATTTCTCAGAGGAAATTTCCGGACGTCGTTGACGGAGGTAATTAGCAACTTGAGTGGCAGCTCTCTGAATTCGCGGTCGCAGCTGTAGACGTGTTACTGCAGACGTCCAAACGCAGATGTCGTGCGCGTACATTGACAATCTGACAGTACTTGGCAGATGCTCATTGAGAGCTATTAGCGTCAGGTTGAATAGTACAGGGCTAAGTATGCCACCCTGGGGAACACCACGGTGGCTGTAATGTAGCGAAGTGTCACCATCCTCGGTTCTCACGAAAAAGGATCGCTCAGAGAGATAGCTGCGTAGCCACTGAAACATCCGACCGCCCACTCCTACCTCCTTGAGAGCGGCGAGGACAGCTTCATGTGTGACGTTATCGTACGCCCCTTTAACATCAAGAAATAAAGAAGCGCAGAGACGCTTACGGCTTTTTCATGTTGCACGTAGCTGACTAGCTCTATCACGCTATCAATTGATGACCGGCCACGGCGAAAACCGGTCATAGCGTCCGGGTAGATGTTGTGATGCTCCAGGATCCATTCTAGTCGTCCTAGTACCATCCTCTCCATCACCTTGCCCAAGCAACTAGCCAGTGCAATCGGGCGGTACGATGTGAGCACCAATGGTGACTTGCCAGGCTTCAGTAATGGAACCAAACGGCTGGTCTTCCAGTTAACTGAGAGGGTGCCCTCTCACCACGAATCATTGTATATATAGAGGAGGGCACTCCTCGCACAATCATTAAGGTGACACAGTGCTCTGTATGATATTCCATCAGGCCCGGGTGCTGATGTCCTTCTACACAAAGCCAGTGCTGCTTTAAGCTCATGGAATAGAAAAAAATTGGTCCATGTGGTGATTTCGTGATGTCGTGCCACCACGTGAGAGCGTGGAGATGTTGGGATCTGCGAGTTGACCAGATAAGTTGGCACAGAACTCTTCTGCCACGTTGACCTCAAATCTCTGTTGAGAGAGGGCTAGAGCTTTGAATGGAGACCGCTGAAAGAGAGCTGTCCGGAGCCCTCTTATTGTTCTCCACAAGTGTGATAAAGGCTTGCGGGGATCTAATGACGCGCAGAAGGCTGCCCAACGTTGTGACTCTAGCTTGTCTATGCGGCGTTGTATCTTCTTCTGAAGACGTCTAGCGATTCGTAAATCGTCGATTGCTTTCGTGCGTCGGTACCAGTATCGTCCTAGGTAATATTGAAATTACCTATGAACGATACTGCTTTGGAATGCGTGTAAGTAGACGTGAGTATACGATTGTGAATCCGGGTAGGGCTCATTGTGATTCTGAAGATGATTATATAGGACCATAGGTCGGCAAAAAAAGTGTAACTCCCCCATATTCACTCAAGAAGTATACCTTATACGCTTCAGACTCACTCGGGCTCAGTCTCACTAAAGTTTATCTGAGCCGTACTCACTCGAACTTACACTACCCAAGATATTACCTTCTCACCCTGGCTCACTGAGACTAAGACTCACGGCTTGATGTAAGTCTGAGTGCGTTCGAGTGGGTCTACTGGTGCGTGGGGTTGCCGACCTATGAACAGAAAGTACTTATATTAGTAGTTATGGTTGGTGGAAATAACATGAGTAAGAAAACATACGCGTTTATAGGTGAAGTATCGGTGACACGTATATTTATCGGTGTAATAAATGGTGGAAACGTTTATGTTGTTGAGCACACATCATGATTTTGACCTCACGTGGGGGGCCAAGTCCATGCGGGCTTTGGCGTACGACATAATACACTTGTTTTGACGTGAAAAATATTTGGAATAAATCATGCGCGTTGCCAATAAATGATGAGTAACCAAGCGTTCGTGTTTGCAGAAGGCTAAAAGTATAAAATTGGGAGACACATAAACTTCGCTTCAAAGAGTTGAACGCGATATTGATATCCTGTCACTGATTCGTAGCTGGGGAATAGGCCAAGAACCGGATAGTATCTATAAAAGACTTCTGTATAAAATGTTAGAATTGGTCTAATTACTAGAAGGAAAAAAAGATGAGACAGGACAAATGTGACAGTGAAGTCATAAACTGTATCTGAAATAAAATGAAGCAGCGCATTTTGAACGAAAAAGTGAGTTTGAAGAAGGAATAAAAATATCCAGCGAAGATTGATTTCAAAACTTAGCACCTCTTTGAACGTTTGATAAACTCTTGCAAAAGCTTCAGCAATCTTCCCGTCACTGTGGCCAAGAGACAATGCCCCGAAAGAAAGCACATTTTTCACACTTAAATATATTTTAAGGAGATGGTAAATAGCAGATAAATATTTTTGCGTATGGTAGAGTATCTATTACAGAAAATGAGGTAATGTTTGGTTGACTCATTTACTCCACAAAAAGGACAATAAGAGGAGGCTACGAGAGCTGCTCTACGTAAATATAAATTTAGCCGCGAAGTCTGGCAACGCATTCTAGCGATTGCTACTTAAATTACACGAGTTAGACATATTTTACTATTCCGATGATACATGAAGTGCTTGATTCTAATGTGGCCGTTAGTAAAGATGCAGAATATTCGTCTAATAGCAATTTTCCTTCTTAGTCTGGCCCCTATAATGAATTGGGATGCCAGTGATACCTCAATAAGAGACCCATTTAAAGATGACTTTGCCAACGCATCTGCCCTTTCATTGACAAATAGGCCCTTATGTCCTGAAACAATGACAAATTTGATCAAATTGTTAGGCGTGGAAACTAATGTTTTGAAAGCACTCAGAGCATGCGAGTTTTCATCTTCAGTAAGGGAGGCACATAGTGATAGTGAATCTGTCAGAATTACTGCCGAACTTACTCCTGCCATTTTTTTACGGAGAGCCAGAACTCTCACAAATAATCTGCTTAAAAAATGCGCACAAAAGTTGGAAGGCGAAGAGAAAAGGACCAACTTAGGATAGGAAAAAAAATATGATTTCTACATTTTTTTCTTTTTGTGACGTATCAGTGGCTACTACTGCTTGTATTGACGTATGTATCAAGTGATTGTAGCTTCTAACATTTAGTGTACAAAATCTTTTCGAACTTGATATGCACCCCCTAAGCGGCCTGAAGGGAATAGGCGCCGTAACGTGTGCGCTATTTGTAGTGTGTGACTTGCTTTAAACTATGAAGTAATTAATAATCGCATGTTCTGAGGCCCGATGGCAATGTATGCTTATACACACAGATGGTTGCTTGCTGGGCTAGTTAGTTCATTGTCAACATATGTAACAGCGCATAAAACTAGAAAAGTCGGCACGGACAGATTGTAAAGAGCACTGACTTCCAACTGTTTTCCAGCCTGGTATAAATGAATATATTCGCATGCATTAATACCTGGTTTCGTCAGTGGCATAAAACAGTTGGAAGTCACTGCTTTTTAGAACCTGTCCGTGCCGTCTTTCCTAGTTTTATGCGCTGTTACAATATGTTGCTTGTACCACGCATTATTACTGCAATGTTTCATGTATCGTGAATCATGTTAACAGGACGTGTGCTTGTAAAGCACAAACGTTACTTTCACTGCATTTCCAAGCAGAGGAGGTTATTTTCACTCTCTTCACAAACAAAGTTCTCTGATTGTTACTTGTCAGTTCTCGAAATCTGTTTCTATTTCCTCTTCTGAGAAACAGGGAAGCCCGATGTCGCCGCTTTTGTTTGCACTTTATCTAGAACCACTGTGCTTAAGCATATTACAGTCCAGTGGCATTCGTGGTTTCAGAATATTAGGCAGTGAAGCTAAAGTAATAGCTTATGCAGACGATGTCGCTTTTCTTGCACAAATAAGCCGAGTGTAGAAAATGTGGTATCTACGATTGAAAAGTTTGGCGTTGCATGAAGTGCTCGTTTAAATGCCTCTAAGAGTTAAGGAAGGCGGTTTGGCTCGTAAGGTAGCACGCCGAATCAGATCGCAGAGATTAATTGGACAAGAACTCCTCCAATGTACCTCGGTGTATCATTATATTCGTATAGATTAAATGCGTATTACTGAAAGCAGTCTGTTCCTAAGCTTAAACGATAGGCCCAGACATTTGTTACCCACTACTTTCAATATTTGGGAGAGGCGAAGCTTGCAATACTTTTCTTGCGACAAAGCTTTGCTATGTATTGCTACATATCTATTGCGCAAAATTTTACATATAGCGCTTTCACCGGATTTTCGGAAATTCCATGTGGTCTTTGAGTTTTGAGCTTATGCGTCGTGACAACATATTCAGGCCAGTGAGTCAGGATTGGTTGGGACTTAAACACCATTATCTATGGCAAACAGTATTACGATCATTCTTTATTTCGGGACAGTTCCCATCTCGTAATCAGCAAATTCTTGCAGTTCACATTTCTTGATTGCTTACTGGGCATAATTGTTTCAGCCAACTTTTCATGCAGCATGTTCACCTCGCAGTTCAGTTCCTTAAAGTTCGCTTTTCCGTAGAATACTTGTACACAATATCGAGAAAGGTAGGGTATAAGGATCTATTAGGCATGATATTTGCGCCTCCCGTTAGTTCTACGCCTATCTTCCATGGCCATGATGTTTTTAGGCGAGTGCGAAAAATGTACATTCCACCGAATTCAAAAACATTCTTCTATAAACTCCACTCTGAAACATTGCCGGTAAACACGTAGTTAGAAAAAAAGATATTTTTGTTCCCTCTGTTAACTGCCACATAAGTAATGTGCCGGAAACGATAGAACATTGCTTTATTAGCTGCAAAGACGCTGTGTTCTTTTTTCGGGATGCCCTTCAACGAACACTGAAAAAAAAAAGTTTCGTCAATAATTCTCACACCATACGTTATATTCTACCTGCACCGCTTGACCACTTGATGAAGTGCCATATGATACGGTTTTCACCATGGGCACAGCTTATGGAAGACACATACGCAGAACTGTAATGCACAACCCAGCACTTACTACCTCACTCACACACTTCATTGAAATGACAATTCATCTCAAGGACATTTATGACGACCTAGACTTCCGAAACGACTGGTACTCCATCTTGGTGAGGTGTTTGGCCTCATCCCCGTTCGTGTGTAACACGATGTGAAGAACTCTCGCTCTTACGCTGTGTTAGCCATTGAGTACTTCATAGTAACGCTTGAGCGCTTACGGTACACATGTGATTGTGCTTTTTTGCTTTATTCGTGTCTTTAGTACGCAAATATTTTATTGAATACTGGAAAAGAAAAACAAAATATGCCTGGCTGTGTGGTAGAACACTCGCTTGACATGCAAACAACCCGGGTTTGATTCGAACTCAGACCTGAAATTTTTTGCTTTTACTTTATCGAAACTTTATCAATTTTTTTCGCTCACATCCAATGACGCCACCACCAGAATTTCTGCGAAACGATGTCTTTAACGCGTTAATAGGTAACAAAGAGCAGCCAGTGACGCATGAAAGACAACATAATCGTGATGGCAGTAAAATCGTGTCTATAGGGGTTATTCGCCGCTAACTTCTTCAATGGCACAAAAGAACACAGGAACATCGCCTGCTTCGATTGTGCTTCTTTAACGTCCGTTTAACAGCGCCGGTACATATAATAAAACAATTTAAACTTGAGCTCCAGCCTTTCCCACAATATTCAGCATGAAATCTATTAAGTTAGTCTTTCAGCCATGAATATTCATGCAAGCCGGTATTCCTCGGCTCATTTATTGATGGTGATATATATTCGGATAGACGGGTATGTGACCTGATGATCCAAGTTTAAGGGGATGGCATTTATTGGCAGAATTACCAGATGAGGTGAACGATGTCTTTACTGTCTTTATTGCGCAGGAAACCTACGTCACCTGATGGGCTAGAGTGGACAGCGTATTCAGCAGAGCAGCCGAAGTTTATGTGGCTGCAACCGGGGAATTACAGCCTTGTGGACTACATGCAAGGGGGTGCATGCGCTTTGTGGCGTAACTTTTAGCACTCGAGTATCGCTGTGCCTAAACACGATGCTATAAGGTACTAATAACCACAAATAGATTTCTGAATAGAAACAATAAAAAGTAATAGACAGTGCATGGCTACTTCTGAAAAATTATTTAGGCGGGGTGGCTGTTCTTCTGTTGGTATTGTATTATATAGGATCACTTCGCAATACTTCTCGCAGTTGAATATAAAGTCTTAGACAAAGTAACAGCGTATTATATAGAGTCCTTAACAGCGAGCTAATTAGAAGGTATCTGCAAAATAAATCGCAAAAATGAAATTGGACAAAATGCACACAGAACGGCAACTTCTAAAGGATATAAACTTGAGCTGGTTGGCTTGGCTTCAAAGAAAGGTACAGCACACAAACGCCGGACAAGAAAGACTGACGGGACTCGGCGCTGACTTGGCGTTGCCTGTCAGAAGGACTGACAGGCAGCACCAAGTCCTGTCAGTCTTTCTTGTTCTAGGTGTCTGCGTTGTGCCTTTCTATCATGACAGCGGTACATCTGTGCACGTGTATCTCGTCCGTGTTTATTTTGAGCTGTGTTTAACAATGAGTCGTTTTAGACCCGAACGGAAGTTTTGTGACTTTATTACGTGCATCAAAAATAAATGGCGTATTCTAAATGCTTTCGGTTATTCGTGCTATGGCTTGTAAATGCCTCAAGGAAACCGCTCCGGTCATTGCGCTCGTCCAAAAGCGAGACTGAATTCTAACGCTACCATTCTTTTATCATGATCATCAGCATCATAATCGTCATCATCAGCCTGGCTACGCCCACTGCAGGACAAAGGCCTCTCCCGTGTTCCGCCAGTCAACTCGGCCCTGCGCTTTCTGCTGCCACTTTACACCCGCAAACTTCCCAATCTCATCAAGCCACCGAACTTTCTTTTTCCCCCTCACCCACTTGCCTTTTCTATCAATTAAGTCAGCTACCCTTAATGACCAGTCGTTATCCTGCTTACGCGCTAGGTGCCCGGCCCATTTGCATTTCTTCTTCTTGATTTCAGCTATATGACATCCTTAATCTCAGTTTGTTCCCTGACCCACTCTGCTCTCTTATTGTCTTTTAAGGTTACACCTATAATTTTCCTTTTCATCACTAGCTGAGTCGTCCTCAATTTAAGCTGAGCCCTTTTTGCAATCTTCAAGATTTCTGCTGCGTAGGTAAGTACCGGTAAGACGCAGCTGTTATATACCTTCCTCTTGAGTGATAGTGGCAATCTACCAGTCATGATTTTAAAAAGCTTGCCGAATGTGCTCCACCAAATTCCTATTCTTCTAGTTACTTCCATCTCGTGGTTCGGCTCCGCGCTTAATACTTGTCCTAGGTAGACGAACTCTTTCACAACTTCAAGGGCACTACTACCTACCTCGAAGCGCGGTTTTTTTCCGAGGTTGTTGTGCACAACTTTCCTTTTCTGCAGATTAATTTTAAGGCCTATATTTTTGCGCTCCTTGTCTAATCAAGTATAATCATGAAATGAAATTCGCCCTTGAGTTAATAAGCAATGCAATATCATGGACAAAGGGCAGGTCTGTAAGGTACTATCCATTAACTCTCATTTTAACTCATCCCATTCTAGACCTCAGAAAACTTCCTATGGGCATACGGTAAATAGCATTGGGGAGATCGTATTCTCTCGTCTCACACGCATCTTTATCCTACAATGATTCAACAATAAACGAGCAAATATAACTTCTTTTGCAAATTCCTCTTTCCCTAAAAATAATTGTTTTAAAGTACGAGCAGAAGTAATTTAATGCTGCCAATACATTCGCGATGGTGGTGCATGAACTACTAGTCAGTAGATATGAGCGCAGTAAAACTAATTTTCTAAAGTATACTACAATTTGTTTTCCATTGAACGCTCATAACACTTAATTAGCAGCTGTACTTCAGTAAGGGCTACGAAAGAGCTTGGGTTGCACTTCACCGAGTGTGATCACAGTGAATGGTGCCGAGAGTCTCAAAGCTGAAACATCCGTTATAAAACCGCGTTTCCAGAGTGACATCTGAAGTAAATGAACGAGGTTGTTTTCAAAACCGGGATGACAAGGACATTAAGTATATGTCAAGCGCATCCAGAATTATTCCGTCCGATTGTTTTAATGCACCAATCAGGAAACAACGGTTACAATAAAACTAATGGAAGAGTATGTTTGACACGATGACTGAACAAGCAGGCAATGTTTCATTGCAAATAATTTCTGTATGGTTGACAAGTGACTGCACCATTACTTAGGAGCAAAAAGTAAACACAACAAAGATTTCATAAAACTAACCGTACCGCCTTCGAGAAGTGTAATTATCTCCCACAATATACTTCAAGTGTCGTACCACAATTGGGGCAGAGCTGCAAATATTTTATCGCCCGCCTTACTATTGATTATTGAATCTAAAAACTTTACGGCTGTTTTACACGAACTGTCATTTAATGACTAGTTGCTGTACTAGTGACCAAACATAATCTCGTCAATGTAATCAGTGCAATAGTTTTTGGTCAATGCTTTTTGTCGTTTATATAGTGAAAGAACTACTTAAACCTTGAGTTATTTTCGACCAACCGATTTCACCATCTCCAAACTTGCGTGCGTGGTATCACATTCCCTATTGAACTGGCAAACGCGAGTTGGTGCCATTCTCTTAGGAGGTCGGCTACGAACACTAAGAAAAACAAAGATTCTTCGACTCTTTTTTTTTTTTTCGAGCGATGTGACTCGGCACGTACAGTGCCGTCCACTATTAGGGTGAACACGGTTCAGCGTGATTAAAAACAGGGCTAGTCGGTGAAGATTCACTGTGGCTTAAAGCGCGAAACACCCGGACATAGACAAGGAGTGCACGTGGAACAGCACTGCACCGTGTCCACTTCTTGTCTATGGGCGGGTATTTCGCACTCTAAGCCACAATGAACGCCTCAGCGTGGCAGCGCTCTGCGGAGCGCCAGTGCAGCCGGCGCGGCCGCGCATCGAACCAAAGGGGCGCAGACGTACATGAGCGTGCCGCTCTTGTTGTTTTACAGGCAAGCGAAACCGGCGTTTGTCCACTACGGAATGGCGCACTCAGGCGATGTAGCGGACGATGGAAAGCATCTTTCGCGTGTCCGTGTGCGCAAGCGTCGCAATGTTTTGATGCGCGGCCGCGCTGGCACACTGGCGCGGTGCGGAGCGCGGCCACGCTGAGTCATGTTGACTCTAACAGCGGACGCCACTTTATGAGACTCTCTTAACAGAGGCGCTTAAACTTTTTTCTGGGTCACACGACTCTTCGAAGAGAGTATATTCGTCTACGAAGAAAGCTCGCGTGTCTCCTTAAAAAGATCTATACACGTGCCAAGTCAGAATTCCCCCCTCCCCCTCCCCAACAAGAAAGAGCTGGAAGACTTTTTCTTAGAGTATATTTAGTAAGACAACGGAATAACAATATGGCGTATTGGTTCACGTGAATGAGTGTCCACAATACAAGACAAAACTACATGAATCCAACAAAAAATTGGATCAAGGAAAGCACAGAAGACGTTATTTTTATTTAGCTGGCGTGGAATAAATATGGCGTGAATTTAAGTGCATTTGTATGATTGAAATGGAACTAAATATAGTGGTCGAAGGATCCTGGGGTGTTTTGTCGTCGATATTTTTTCTTTCTCGCCATATTAATTGAAGTATACAGTTGAAGACAACAGTTGATGTCCTCTATGTTTTCCTTGGTAAAATTGCACTATAATGGCACATTAGATTCGTTCAGTTGTACCTAACAAAGAAGCGAGCCCTTTAAAAAATTAGAAAATAAGCTTTGCTCATTTGGGATACATGACATGCTTTAGGGCGGCTTTCCGCTGTCATTAAAATATTTCAAAGATACCGCAGTTTATAATAAGTTCTATAGTTGGGTGCAGCCTCTTGAAAGCGTGACACATTTGAAGCTGCCGCGTAATTGTGAGGAACCCGTGTGTCTTCTCTCTTCAGCGCTAGATGGCACAGGCACCGCGCAACGTGCTGCTCGTAGTGGCTTTTCTTTATTCTGCCCTTGGGAGCCTCATCAGGCCTAGTTTTGCCTTCTTTTTTGCCTCGTACTGATGAAAAGAGTAGGGAATATAGACGAAGCACTTTGCTGATTAAATCAAGACACCTTTCTCAGAGACTGAAGGTTGGAATGCCAGAGTAGAAGGGCAGAGTTGCCAGAATCTTTAAAGGATGGTGCATGTTGGATAAGAATACCTCCGGGCAATCGGCAACCGTTTGCATCGCAGACATGCTCAGCGTTTCTCGCTCCTCTCGCTTCTATTTCGCAGTCCGTACTGCTAACTCCCCTTGAAATGCCGAAGTCGAGATAATGTTCTAGTACACGTCAGCAAGCTTCTCGGCTGTGGGAAAAGTGGCAAATTCGAGAATATTCTGTGGGAGAAGGGAACAAAGCGTCTTCAAGGTGTGCTGATGCCTCATTGAAGTGGTCTATTAAATAGTCCAGAAAAGGCCAGAAATACTGAAAGACTAAAGTGCTCTATAACGCTAGCCACTGGCACGTTACTTCAATGAAGGTGCCTACCTGTGACTAGCGGCATCTTCATTTTCGCTACTTATCAAGTGTGCACTCGGAGCAGCGTCACCTTTTAGGAAATAATCATCGAGCGTTATACCGTAGGCGTTTCGACGTGACCATGGAGTCTCATAGAAGTGCGCTGATCGACCCAGGAGATGAACTACCAAGCAATACGTGTAGGCAGCGTATTTCGATGAGGTGACTTCACATTGCTAGGAAGCAACGAGCTCAGCAGTGTTCGGGCAGTGACCCCGAATGCAAGAAACGAGAACTATAGCGACAAAACATGTCGGCTTGTAAAGTTCCGCCTTAGCCACGAGCGCTCGTTTCTCGCCTGGCGGAAAGATTCGCGGGTGTACATTTCCTCCGCTTCTCTTCAGGTTCCGGCAAGGTCGCGCTCGCCCAGTATCTTAGTCTGCACGCGAGGAGTTTCGAGTTTGTGATTGCAAACATACGGAAGGCTGGTAGTTTCTGCTGCGTTGTGATGTTATACCAAACGTGAATGAACGCGAAGGAGTTGATGGCGGCTGTGAAATTCCAAT